TTAATCCTTGATTCTTGCTCTCCCCAAATGAATGTTGAAAACAGCAGTCGCCTCAAGATGCTTAATATTCAAGGTAAAGACCCTACAATAACAGAAAGGACGCAATTGTCATTTCTCCTTTAATTATTGCTGATAAACAGTTTATTAGCTAATCATGATTAAAAAAAGAAATATTAGTGTAGGCAATGTATTCATTTTTACCTCACAGCCATAAAAGGCTAATGAGTTATTGTTGTCACCCTGCTGGGCGGACAGCGTGGGCACCTAATTCTGTGAATGCAATGACCTGAGAACAACGTAACATCATCTATTATAGGTGCATCTACAAAAAAATCTTACACAAGTTCAAAACTAAATAAGTAAGAGTCAAAGGTCAGGTTTTTTGAAAATCTTATGATTGTAATAACTCAACTTCAGATTGATACCATAGGTGCATTTACTAAAACTCCTGGACACGTTCAAATCTCAGTGATCTTGACCTCAAGGTCAGGGTAACTTTCCGAAAACCTTGTGAGTGTGATAACTTGAGAACAAGGTGACATAGAATTCTGAAATTAATACCATAGATATGGCTAATAGGAGGCTGAGGAGTAGCACTGACAGTTGCTAGTATTTTTTTACAGTGGTTATGCATGTTCGTTGGTAGCATTATTGTTCAGTCCCTTTAATGTCAACTGTTAGGTCAGTATAACTGTATTCATAAAAGATGACAAATTCTTCAAGTATTTGAATTGAAGGATTTGTTATTGTTGCCTTTATAATTACAGCTCCCTTTTTTTGATGGTGACAATTTTGAGTATTATGTATATTTACTTCCATGTAGGATCCACATAGATCTGAGTAGACTTCTATCCAAATAGCACATTAGAACTAATACATTTGTTAGTTTTATTAAGTTTAGTAATAGTGGGAAAAAATGTCATCACCACATAAAAAGGTTTAAAAGACTAGATGATGAGAAAGGTTAATCATTCTCATCATCTAGTCTAACAACCACTAACTTTTGTCTCTGAGCAATAACAATCAGAACAGTGTATATTAAAAAACAACTGTTGGTTCCATCCATGTGGTCTATGAAACCATGGGAAGTGCAGCAGAAAATGTTGGCTATTCTCGTTCTTTCTTTGTGATCGTGTTCTTTGACATTACATTACAATCTTCAAACCTTCTTGATTGGTGTGTCAGTTAGACACAGGGAACACTCACTTAGTGTCTTTGTTTCTTTGAAATCCCCGTAACTTCTACTTGATGTGGCTCTATCAGCACTGGCGTGATGTCAAACCTGCTGTTTCCCAGGAGTGATATCTTAGTTTCCCTGTAGTTGTAGTTTACACGTTGCTCTTAACGCCTAGACAATCTGAAGGTACTCCCCTCTTTTTCATTTTTTCCTCCATTGGCTCAGGTGTGCCAATGTAAATGAAAAAAAACACTCTGACCCCTAGCATCTGGGAACTGAGTCCGTTTTCTTTAAGTGTTTTTTTTTTTGTGGTATGAGTCTTTCTTTTCATGAGATTTGGTCAGGTACTCTTGATCCACAAACTTTCTTCTCCCATTTTGTAGAGTCTTGTCTTTTTTGCTATTCTTTGGTTTTATATTCCAGGAAATAGGCACAGACAGACACTGGTTTGGAGCCTTAGGGTGGTTTGGGTCCCAGTGACTGGCGTCAGGACTGAACACCAAGTATCATGACTTCTAGTCTATCCAGTAAATCCAGGTCCAGCTTTTATTACACCTACACATTTTTGTTTACCCAGCCTTATATTATCACATCAAACTACAGTAAGATCCACCATAGCACAGATACTGATCTTAGTATATCACAAGAAAACATAACATGCAAATGTTATGTGTATGTGTTGCTTTCAGTGATTTATAGATCAAGGACTTATTTACTTGTATTACATATCTTGTTAGGGCTTGATGTGTCCGGGTCCAGGTAGACGAGCATTGCTGGAGCTCCTGTACCCAGATATGCGCTCCAGCATGTAGTTTTGTCAAAGATTTGGTATCTTTGTTGTACTGAAACCTCTGGCATCATTGGCATGCCACTTTCTTTGCTTGCAGTTTGTTCTAGGGGTCACTCTGGGATTGTAGGTATTTCACTGTTGTTGGCAAGACGCAGTCTGCTGCTCATGAAGGATGATGATTTGGGCTGGCAACTTCAGTCCATTGACAGTAGTATTCTTGTACTGTAGGTTGAAATAGGGGTCTTTGTTGTCCTCTCTGGGTTTTGTGCAGATCCAATTTGTAGTTTAAACTGTCTTTTTAGCTGAAGCATTGGTCTGGGGGCTTTGAGGACTTGCTGTGACATGCTGAAAATCCAATGACTCTGCAAACTTCTCATGAGCTGTAGCGTGCCCCGTTGTCACTTCAAACTGTTTTTGGGAGGTCATGTCTGCCAAATACTCCCTTTATTTTGTGGACGAGAGCAGCTACGGCGATGTCATCTTTGGATTTTTCGACACCCAACATCCAGAAAAATATTATAAACAAATAAAGCTTAATGCTGAACATTGAGGATTCTGATTGTTTCTTTGGTTAAAGAAGCAATTGTTATTGCAACTAGATGAGGTCATGACCAACAATGACCAAGCTAAGAGAAGGAAACACTGCTGATGGCTAACTAACCGGACATAGTGATAGTGGACAAGCAGAGGACCAGTGACAGATCTAACTATACCAAGTGATAGCAACATCAAGTTGCTCTAGTTTGGATCCCTGGATCTCTTTAACATTGTCAGGGAAATGTGGATGTACTAATTTGGTGATTAAGAAAATGTCTAAAATTTTGTTTTCTTGATTCTAATCTGTTGGAAAGTCCCTTTTACTCTGCCGAAGCTGCGGTTCCCAAACCCAGAAGACAGCAAGAACACTTTGATCTGGGACAATCAAGCAAGCAATTTCCACAGTGACATTAATAGGCTAGTTAAATGTTTCAATGGATCCATTTTAAAGTTTCAGAGCTTTTCTAAGTCATATTTCTAAGCCATCACCTTAGAAACAAACAGCAGCACAGAGGGCGCCCTTATTATTGATATAATTAACTAGAAATAAAATGTTATTGTAAGACCCTACAATAATACATACAGAGAAAAACCCAACAATCATGTGACCCCCTATGAGCAAGCACTTTGGCAACAGCAGGAAGGAAAAACTCCCTTTTAACAGGAAGAAACCATCAGCAGAACCAGGCTCAGGGAGGGGCGGCCATCTGCTGCGAACAGTTGGGGTGAGAGAAGGATGACAGGATAAAAGACTGTGGAAGAGAGCCAGAGATTAATAACAAGTACTATTCAGTGAGGAAGCAAAAAGCAAAAAGTTTTAAACCTAATCATAAAAGTAGAGATAGTGTCTGTCTCCAGAATCCAAACTGGAAGCTGGATTCATAGAAGAGCGGCCTGAAAACTGAAGGCTCTCCCTCCCATTCTACTTTTAAATACGCTATGAACAACATGTAAGCCTGCAGTGTGAGAGCAAAGTGCTCTAATGGGGTGATATGGTACTATCAGGTCATTTAGATAAGATGAGGCCTGATTATTTAAGACCTTGTATGTGAGGAGCAGGATTTTGAATTCAATTCTGGATTTAACAGGAAGCCAATGAAGGGAAGCCAATATAGGAGAAATATGCTCTCTCTTTCTAGTCTCTGTCAGCACTCTTGCTGCAGCCTTTTGGATTAACTGAAGGCTTTTCAGGGAGTTTTTAGGACATCCTAATAATAATGCCCAGATGGACGATAGATGATCACAAATAGGACTGGTTTTTGAGTTTTCCAGCTGGGGTGGACAAAGCTAAGCATCAGGCTTTCCAGTGAATTAAAAGTCTGTTTTGGTCTTTGGTTGATTAATTAGCTGGTGTGGAAAATTGCTGCCACACCGCCCCCTCGACCTGTGCTTCGAGGTTTCTGATAGTTGGTATGACTCGGGGGGTGTTGATTCATTTAAGCTAATAATCACCCTGCTGTAACCAGGTTTCTGTAAGGCAGAATAAATTGATTTGTTGATCAATTGTTAAGTCATGTACTAACAGAGACTCTAACAGAGGAAGAGAGACACCTAATGTTTAATAATCCACATTTCACTGTTTTACTCTGTGGTGCAGATGTGGATACTGTATTGTTCTTTCTTTGTGATTTTTTTTTCTTTAAGGGGATGGGGTTTGGGGGGGTAACAGGAGGAGAGAAGCTGCAGAGAGGCGTGTAAGACTGCAACTCTGCTTCCTGGTCCCAACTCTGGATAGTCACGTTTTGGTTGTTTAATAAATTTGGCCAGATTTCTAGAAATAAGAGCTGCTCCATCCAAAGTGATGGATGAATGCCGTCTCTCCTAACAAGACCAGGTTTCCTCCAGAAAGTTTCCCAATTATCTATAAAGCCCACATCGCTTTTTGGACACCGCTCAGACAGACAGCGATTTGCTAGAGCACTCATTTCTTCTCCTTTTTACAACAGTGTTGCATGTTTCTGTAACACTTTTTATGTTGTTTATATATAATGTCTCTGTAGTAGATGGCACTCATTAGGTTGGCTGCATAATATTCTTTCACAATTAGTTTGTTTCAAATTAACATTGCCCATATCCATTCATTTTAGTCTTTAATCTTAGTTATTTGTTTAATTGTGTAGTCATTAACATGTTTGCTTAACAAGCAAAGGTTGCTGATATGATTCCAGCCAGCGAGATAAATCCCCTTTGGAGTTTTATCAGTAATGGCATCCCGGTGTAAAAACTCTCAAATCAAACATCTGTCGCAATGAAGCAGCTGAAAGTAGCTTTTTTGTGCTTTTTCTTCTATTTTGGTTATTTGTTTAAAATTAGTTAATTAAAGTCTTAAAGTATTCAGTCAGTTTATGATAGTTTAAAATAAAACTGAATGTAGAACTAATGTTAAATAATTAATTTGGTACATATCAGACTCCATACAACAGTAGGAAAGTCTTTGGTCTTAAAGCTAAAAAAAAATGCTTATCCCTTTTGTTTTTATTTTCCTTATTTTGCCAGGTCAAGCTTCCTTTTCCTGTAGATCAAATCACAAATCTTCCAAGGAATGACTTCCAAATGCTGGTGAAAATGCACAAACTGACTTCAGAGCAACTTGAGTTTATTCATGACATCAGGCGGCGGAGTAAGAACCGCATCGCAGCACAGCGTTGTCGCAAGAGGAAGCTCGACTGCATCCTCAACTTGGAGTGCGAGATCAGAAAGCTGGTGAGTGGATTGATTGTTCTAACACACTGTCATTAGCTGTCACCCAGTGAGAAGCTGCTCTCTTCTTTGGACACGGACTCACCTTAGTCATAACCATTTCATTATAATCAGTAACATTTTATTCTCCTCAGCACTTTCAAACCATTACATTGCTCTCCAATGACTGTTCACTGGAGCCCTAACCCTGCTGTACTCTCTCTGTGCAGTCAGATTGCGGTGGTCCCCCGTTTTCTTTCTGTGTTTATTTATTCTGATGCTTAAACTGAGCTGATCCTGTTCTTCTGCAAGGGATCCCTCTTCTACAGAAGCCATCCGTCTGGGTGTCTCTTCTAACGACAATGTTTGTTGTGTTGACTTACTAACTAGACAACCTCCCCACCCCACTCCCCGAAAAAAGATGTTCCTAGGCACCCTCTTTTATACTTTTTTGTCCATTTGTCTCCCTTTCTCTTTCCTCCTCTTTGGACATCCAATCAGGCTGTTTACATATAATCACCTGATGTCCAGCCACACCTTATTATCTTCACCCACTTTTAACTAGGGCAAAGGTTACTTCATGAAAACCACTTTATCATATTTTTATCTTTTCTATGTTATTCTCAAATTTAAAGATTCCATTACATATGAGCATTCAGTCACATATCAATATAGTTCATGTTTCACGCAGTTTATGCAATCTTACTTAGATTTCATTAGCTAATTCTTACATTGATTTTTACATATTCTCTTTTGATTCAAATACATTGTTCTCTTCAAAACTCCTTGTTTGCTGTTCACAATGTACTCAGTACAGTTTCTTTTATTAAATCATACATTTAGGTCAGACATTCTTTTGGATCAGTGGCTCTTTGGAATGAAGTATAATTAACTATCAGCAAAATCACAGATGAATTATGGTTCTGTATTCATCTATTACAACACATAATACCATTTCTTGTGTTCAAAATCATGTAATGTAGCCGCACACAAACAGATAGGATATCTATCTCCTGACATTGGACTCATCTCTGTGCTTGTCCTGCTAGACCTCAGTGCAGCCTTTGATACTATTGACCATAATATCCTATTAGAGTGATTAGAGCATGCTGGTATTAAAGGTACCAGACTGCAATGTTTTAAATCATACTTATCTAACAGACTTTTTCATAGAAATAGAGCGTTATCTTTACACACTAAAATTAATAATAGACTTCCACAGGGTTCCGTTAATGCTTCTCTTAAACTCTATCATTAGAAGGCATAGCATACATTTTCTCTGCTGTGCAGAGTATCTATCAACAAAGCCAGATAACGCACACGACCATCAACATAATGACCTTTAATTTCCTGCATCTAAATTCAGATAAAACTGAGGATATTGTACCTAAATATCTAACCAGATGCTTAATCTGAATGGCAGTACCTTGGCCTCCAGGAACACCATGAGGAATCTTGGATTTGTTTGAGGATCAAAATAAAGAAATAAAAAAAGAAGACTTTGAGGGGACCATATGGATATGTCCGTCAGTGTGCATATTAAACAAATATGTAGGACTGCTTTCTTCTATTTTGGCAATATCTCTAAAATTAGAAACATCCTGTCTCAGAGTGTGTATTTGTTCTTCACTCTTTCTGTGTTATCAGAATCAGAATCAGAATACTTTATTAATCCCGAAGGAAATTAGGGACACTAATCTGCGTTAAATCAGTGTTAACATTCCCAAGCCTGACTGGAGCAGCCCAAAAGCAATGGTGAGTTGTGGTTGACTTAAGACACAGTCTTTCATTGCTGTAGTTGTAGGTTTAAGTGACTGACTTTGACTGAGATTGTCATCTATTTGCCTTACTGAAACAGAAATCCTAAGAGAAGTGCTGGGCAAAAATGCACAGAAGAGAAAAAAGTAGTTTGTAAAAAGCGAGAGAATGAATGGAAAGTTCAACAGGCAATGAGTGGAAAGCTTTTTTGTAGTGCTGTACTCTTGTGCACAGACTTATTGATTGCATCTTGAAATGAGTCATAACCTATGTATGTGTGTCTGTGTGTAGGTGTGTGAGAAGGAGAAGTTGCTGACTGAGAGGAACCAGCTAAAGGCATGTATGGGTGAGTTGTGGGAGAACTTCTCCTGCCTGTCACAGGAGGTGTGCAGGGATGTTCAGCTCAGCCCCGAGCAGGTCCAGTCGTTACACCACTACTGTCCCATGCTGCGCCCCGCCATCTCCACTGCCAGCAACAACACTGCCCACGAGCCCAAGGCCTCCCTCAGCACCAACACCACCACCAGCATTGACCTTACCACCCACTCGGGCTCAGCCACACCAGAACCAACCTTTCACGGTTCACCCGGGCCATCGGAGAGCGACCCTGACGTGGCTGTCAGAAACAGGGCAGACAAAGATACAAACGGCCAAGACGCCACCAGCTTGTATACAAAGTCAGGGCCACCGGTGGAAAAATCCAACCAGACGGTAACGGTGGATTTTTGCCAGGAAATGACTGACAAATGTACAACTGACGAGCAGCCGAGGAAGGACTGTACTCAGTAGTGGTCGTTCTCTGTTTTGTTTTCTTTTTCATTATTTAATTTTGCTCTTCTGACAAACCCTCTCTCAGGGTTGTTGAGACAGTCAGCATCTGCCAGTGTTCAGTGAAAAACAAGCTTTGTTTGTATTTATATCTTTTTTGACGGTCGACACTAAAGTTGTCTTAACAACAGCAATACTGTTCTCCAGGAATTCTCCTATTACCGTGACAGAGTGGAACTTCTCACCAAACCCTTACGATGGTGCTATACTTGCCCCGGCAGCAACCTCTACAGTGGAGACTTTGTTCTTCATGTGTCACACATCACAACTCAAAGTCAAACCTCATTGGACCTAAACTGCAGCTCGCTTTGTCTCTCTGCATACCAGCAGTATGTCAGTTCCTGCCTTTGTCTTTTCCTCTTCTCTCCTTGCCACTCTGTCTCTCTCAATCTCTTCTACCTCTTTCTGTCTCACTCTGCATCTCTCTCTCTGTCTGTTTCTTCTTTCACTATATCTGAGTGACACTTTTGGTCACAGCAATTCAAACTCAGGAAGAAAAAAATCCTCTGAATGTTCAACCTAATTCATGAAAAATGAGAAAACGGCTTCTGTACACACGGAAGTTGCAAACTGTAAAATGTTCATATGCAAAAATGTCTTCAAACGTCTCTCATTTGTATTGCTGTACAGAAGAAATTTGTACAGATTGTAACCGAAAACATTCCTCCTATGCCTTCCACGTGGAATTGAAAGGAGAAAAAAAAAGGCTTTTGCAGGCAGTTAAATGGCTATTTTTATTTCCCACTCATCAGCAATACCATTGTATTTGGATGTTGTACTGGTGACTTTCAAGTGCTTGTTTGGCAGAAGTGTATATAGCATGATGACTGTAACAGTGATTTTGTACAGCTAGACGCCTAGATGTTTCTTTTTCACCGGGGTTATAACAAGGGAAAAATTGTTGCTTTGCTGTTTCCTGTCCTGCCTAATGAACGAGGGGAGCGTTCTTATACTCAGGAGATCAGCTCGATACACATTTAGACACAGTACACACAGGCACGCACACATCGACACACACATTTTGAGCCCCTTGCATGTATAATTGAAGATGTGTTTTTGAGAGCGTGGCTCAGGCTGGCTCTTCTAAATCTTCGACACCTCTTTAAATGTGAAAAAAAAAATCCTTGTTTTCTTTTCGTTTTTTAAGGAAACGTATTTGTTCCCAGAACTTTAATATATCCTATTTGTTTATACACAATGTTGTCATTTGATGATAGGAGACAGCAAAAAGCCTCTCCGATTTTTTATTTTTTTTTTAATTTATGTTGATTACGATAAAATTGACTAATGAAAAAATGAAAAAGCATACAAACATAAATCACGCACTTTTTTCCTGGCCCCCTTACGCCCCAAGTGAGGGTCTTTACTTCAGACTGCTTAAAAGTCAGAGACTGGAGCACTTAAATTGGCAAGAAATATCTATGAAGAATATAAAAATATGCCGAAGGAAGCTAATATTTCATCTTACATTTTTATTTCTTTAGAAATTGAATAAGCTAATTCAGTTCCTTTGACGTGAAAGCAGTGTGTGTGTTGTTCAGATGATTGAGTAGCAATCATATAAGATAGTAAAGTGTTTAACCTACTTGTGCATTTGTTTTAAACACCCTACTTTGTAATGTGCATGCATGCTACCTAATAGCTATAAACCTAGTTAGTTGGTTTAGCTTTTTTTTTTTTTTTTGCTTTGTGCATTCTCTCTGGAACATTCTGCTATAAAAATGCATTTTCACATTTCTATATATAAAGAATCTGAAATATGTCAACCCTTGCTAGAGGCAGAAGTAGCAGAGCTCCACACTCCAGTGCAAAGGTTGAATGAAAATGTTCATTGCACTTTAAAGCTCCAATCCAAATTAGCACTCCCTATTAGCCTAACAGGGCTGTGGTTCATGTTTTTACTGTAGTTTCTTTCGAATGTTTCCTATAAAAAAGCTATGCTTATGTTAAAACAGATGAGTATCTAATACAGTACTTTGAAAATGAAATCCCTTAAAAGCTAAATTTAATGTTAAACTCATTTATTAGCATAGTTGAAAAGCTGCTCTGTTGTCACAAGGGGTCACCATAGCAGGTAGCGCCGCACACAACCTCAAAGAGGATCCATGTCTCCGGCCAGCGACCTTTCACGCAAATGTACAATCAGTAATTATGGAGACACACAAGCTTATTTGCATTTAAAAGCTTACTTGAACAAAATATACTCGTTTGAATTTTTTATGAGCCACTGATGTTTTCACGTTTTCAAGTTTTTTCTGTTGTCTAAACAATATTGCCCTATTTTACTGCTTCCAGGCTAGCTGAAAGCCACTCAGCTGGCTTTGTCATACTAGAAACCTAATTTCCTCCATGCATGTGTGAAAATGCAATAGTTATGTAAGAAGTAAATTAAGTCATTTTAAAACTTTACTTTACAGCTTTACATTTTTATTAATAAAACGTGTTTCTGTTTGTTTGTTTTCCAAATAACATGTAATACAAGATGCTAAAGAAATAGATTATAATTTTACTTAATAAAAATATGTTCCAGGTTTTAAGAATCTATAGCTAATTTGCCATCCATAAACATTTCCTCATTAGGTTATCAAAAATTAAATAAATATTAGTGTCCATTTTATATGATCATTTGAACCTATTTAAGTGGGCCAGTAGCTTTTGATAGTGCTGTAAAAGGTATATGAAATGTATTTTATCAGGTTATACAGTGGTGCCCTCTTCCTGATTTCCTTTTTTTTAAAAATATTTTTGTCACAATTACACGTTTCAGATCATCAAACAAATTTAAATATTAGACAAAGATAACACAAGATGAGATTTTTGTCCAGTCTCTTTCTTCTTATTGAATCATGAACATGTGATGGACATGTTTAATGTTGTTCTGGGTTCTTCTGTTACCTCCTGGATGAGTGCTGGGAGGTCACAGATCTGCTCTTGGAGTCATACTGCTAGGCCGGTCACTCCAGTTAATCACTGTTCCATGTTTTCTCAATTTGTGTATGATGGCTTTCACCGTAGTTACAAAGACTTCAAAATAGCTTTGTAACCCTTAACAGACTGACAGACGTCAGTTACTTTGTTTTTCAGCATTTTCTTTAGATCTTGACAGTCTTTTAGCCAGCTTCACATAGTCAGACAGGTCTGTCAGTAATCAGGCCTGAGTGTGTTTAAACTGAATTCAGCTTTTCAAAAAAATGTGGTTAATCACTTTTAATTCATGATTTAAAAAGAGGGGCAATTATTTTGGATAACTTTTCTACCTCTATCAATGAAATCATCATTTAGCTTACTCAGGTTATCTGAGCTTACTCAGGTTGTCTTTATCTAATATTAAAAAAAAAAATTGATGATCTGAAACAAGTGTGACAAATATGTAAAACACTAGAAAATCAGGAAGGCTTCAACGTGTTTCTAACGTTTTGTTTCAATTGTTCTCCCTGTGGCTCCGTATGTTTTCTTGAGGTATTCTAGATTCCTCCTCAGTTAAACTGTGGGCATGAACTGTGAAAGCCCTTAAAGACTGGAGACCTTTTCAGGGTGTACATCACCACTCACCCTCTGACAGCTAAGATGGGCTCCAGCCATGCTGCAATAATGAATGGGCTAACCAGTTGAGAGAATGGATAGATATTCAAGTTATCAACATAAAATAAAAACACAGAAAGGGGAAGAGTAAACTGTAATAATATATAATTTGACATCAAGAAAAGTAAATAATATTAATAATTGAATTGACTAAAACATGTCATTTAAATTTGTACAACTAAAGTGATTTATTCATTTTCATAACCTTTTTTTATTTTAGAGGTGACAGGAAATAGTCATCTAATTACACATGCAGGACAAATAGAGGTTTAAAACAAAATATTGGTTGTTAAAGTTCGGGCCATTCTCAACATCTTTTAAGGTAATGTTGACCCTCTGTTACAAACAAACAGACCCTGAGTAGTATGAAATGTTTATCACTCTAAATATGTAATTTTTCAAAAGCAAAAAGTTTGTTTTCAGTAGTTGCAAACTTGTAAACACTGCCTACGTTAGCTACCTGCTAATAATTTCAATGCTGTCTTCGCCCTGTTTTGGTTGTACAATCAAGTTTTAATCACAATTCATTTAATCGCAAAAGTAATTTCTAATGTCACTTTAGTTTACTTTAGTGAACAGAATTTTAGCATGGCATTTGGGGGATGTTAATATACCGAGCATAGCAATTAGCCATACTAGCCTTTTTGCTGATTTTGAGGGGTTTTTTATTGTTTTATATCCAAATGTTTCGAGGATTGGGGCTTTAAAGTTTGCATGACATTTTTTGGAGTTCTCCCCATGACCTTTACTGATGTAAATCCTAGATGTAGTTTGAATGATGACCTTGTTTGTAAGATAATTTCTGTTTCACAGCCAGACAGAGAAAGTGTAACTGTAGTTTAAAAACCTGTTTTAAAATTGTTCAATCGTCCCTGTTTTGTACAAAGACCCACACATGCACACATATGATCACATACACGTACACGTATTGGCACAGAATGAGTGTGGAGCAATAGTGACTCCTCTACAACTGAGCTTGTTTCTTGTTTGTTGAACTGTTTATTTCTAATTTGTTCTTTTATTTGCGTGCACATATTTACTAAAGCAGAGCAGTATTTTCCCATGTTAGCATTCTGTCACATTCAAACAAGAGAACTAAAGTGAAATAATCGACATATTGACATTTTCTACAAACATTATGCAACTCTTTTTCTAATTCTTTTGATTTGTTTAGAAACTGAGGAAACCTCTTTATATTGCTGTTTGCACACAACGAATTCAAACAGCTGTCTCATGGGAGACGATTAATTCCAATATTATCACAGAATTTCTCTGTGTTATTAATTTAACTTGACATTCCCATAGAGGGAAAATGAACGAGGACACAACACTCCCTGTGCATGGTCCAAATTATGGGAATCCTCAGCAAAAATGGTGAGATAATTTAAACATCTTTATTTAACATTAACGCAGCACAGTTTGTACCATTGCTATCGCTAACACTGCTGTTTAAAATGCCACAACAACAAAAAAAATGCTGTCTTGCCTCTAGTGGTATCAACCCACACAGATGGTTTTGGTTTAATTTTGTCCAGATTTTAGTGCATGTGCTTTTCCCTGCACTCAACTATAATGGAAACAAAATTTCAGTCATTCATTGCATGATAATAATGCGATGGTAAACTCTCAAACACTGACATGTCAAACCAAAGCTATCTGTAGAATTGGGAAATGTTTTATTGTTATTTGGGTGAACCATCCCTTTAATATCTCAGGGTGCCAAGCATTTACACCTGCTCTCTGCATTGTACTGAAGCAGACTTTTTTTTTCTTTGTTTGTTTTTACCTGCTTTGTTTGTGCATCAAACTAAAATTTCCTTCAAGCGGTTTTGATATCATTTAACCTTCAGTGCTAATTGAAACCCACACCACTCTGCCCCGCCACCTCCACAATTTAAAAACTCACACACACTTACACACACACATAGCCACTCTCTTTGATGCTCCATTGTCCAGCTAGTGGCCAACAGTCTATTTCAGCCCTCTGTGGCTAATAGCACACAATGAATTAAACTATGCAGAACAAAGGCAGATGCACAGTCGATCATTCTCTGCGTGTTCACAAAAAATATGAATTAGTGCAGCTTTAAAGTGATTGAACACAAGTAAAATGAATTATGAATCTGATATTTTGCTAAATGAACTTTTCCTGTATATTTTTTACAGTCAAACAATGTGTTTATGGCCATTACATCAGTTTTTAATTATGTGCACAATTTTGCTGTTGTTGTAGCTCTTTTTGGTTGTTTTTTAATTTTGGATTTGTTTTGTTTTGGGGGTTTGTTGTCATTGCTTCTCTGAAACAAACACTGGCTTTTTAACTCCAAAGGTTGTTCTATTGAAGAATACGAACAAAAACATGCCTTTCTCACAGATTGTTCAACTTTCTTGAAAAAAAAAAGAAAAAAAAATCTGGTTTCCTGGTCGAGTGCACAGGTTGAGATCACTGAGTAGAGTATAAATATAGAATATGTTTACAAATAGGTGTCATGTCACATTTGATCAATTTTTGCCATGTAAAACTTGCTCGGTTCAGTTGAACCGATTCTTGGTGTTGTGGAAGAGACAGAATGAGTTTCCTCACCTTGTCTTTAATCCAACTATTGGGATGGGTCAGCATTACATGGATACAAGTGCACCTCCAATATTTGCCTTAGAACTTGCAGAGGCCATAGTTCACATTTAAGTGAAGCGAGTGTATGCAAGGGCCTGAGCCCCCATCCCTTAGTCACCAGTGCGGACTTTCTCACACTTATCTACCTGTGAAATCCTTCATACCTCTCATAACTGGTCAATGACTGTATCAGCAAACTGCATCAGGTGTTTTTTCTACATGCTTTTTACACAGATTATATGGATTATTGTATTAGTAGGTGCATCATTTTTAATGTAATAGCTCTTAAGCTTGTAGGTGTTGTTTTTTCTCTCATTTTTCTAAATGACTGTTTTGTGTTAATATTGTCAATTTGAAATTACTGTCATTTGCTTATTCTCTACTAAGAGTTCTTACCTAATTTTAAATGCTACATGACCCTAATTAATTAAATGACTTAATAACCATTGTAAATACGGTATTGTGAGAACCCCATTTTCATTCATTTCTATTGCTAGTGTTATATAAATGATTTTTTTTTTGTCTAGACACCATTTCTCTTTAAGAAATAAAGAAACATGCATATCATGTGTTGTGTGTTGTTTTTCTCTGTTTTTGGTCAACATTTGAGGTAAATGTCTCCTTACCTTTAATTATTCCACTCAACAATCTTTGTGTTTAAACCTTTTCACTTAAAAAACACATTTAAATTACTTTAGCTGATAGTATGCATACATCTACATCTTTATACATCTACTGCTAACATTTTCATATGCTACTTTAACACCAGCAGATTTGAGCATTGATCGAAAAAAATAAAAAGGTAAATCTGCATGCTGTGGCGACTGTAACTGAATTTTAAATTCAGTTTTAGCTAAACAGTGCCTGAGTGTGTGTGTGTGTGTGTGTGTGTGTGTGTCTGTGTGTGTGTGTGTAAATTCCCCACTCGTCCTGTGGACAGTCTTCATCCTTCAAGCTCAGGTCCTCTATTGTGTAGTATCCTTTCTGTTCCCAGGACTGCATTCTTCTGGAAAGAGATCTCAGATATCATTTGTGGCATCTGCTGTAGCTGCTCACCCAGATTGGTGCTTAAAGCCCTGACTGCAATCATTACCATGGGAACTATTGTTGCCTTCGACTTCCACACCTTATTTAGCACTTTTCTCGGGCCTTTGTATTTTGCTAATGTCTTGTGTTACTTTGTTCTAATGTTGCTATCACTTGTTATATCTACATCTGTCACTGTGCCCATATCCCTCTGTTTGTCCATAACTACTATGTCCAGTTGGTTAGCCATCACCAGTTTGTCTGTCTGTATCTGGAGGTCCCACAGGATCTTAGCTTCATCATTCTCAACCACCCTAGAGAGCGTATCTTATTTTGACCTTGGGACTTCCAGGCACAGATGTTCCTGTATACTATGATAGACAGCTTTTTATGGTGCTCCATGTATGCCCTGCCTGCTAGCATTGCACTTGCACTCAGCTGTTATATGCTTGATTGTCGCAGAAGCATCTTTATACATCCAGTACTGCCATGATTAGTGTCACAAGGATCTTTCTTGTTTCATTCTGGATAGTCGTTCTGACACTCACAAGTACTGTACTGTAAGCCTCCTTCCTTCCACTTACAGTACAGTCTCAGGATACTGGTATAGGAGTGAAACCCTCCATAGTAAGGAGCTTCCTTCTCTTGATGTCAGTGGTTTCTATCTCCTCCTTTTGCCATCCCAGCAGGGTATCTGATTATTATTAATCAGATTCAATTATTAGGCCCCTCTACTATGGGAGGTGTATACATGAGTATGTAAAAACAATAATCAAAATACACATTCCATGGATTCAAAAAATGATATGTAGCCAGCTAGCTAACTAGACAACTAGTAGTTTATTATAACATTTTTTAAAATGTGTGGTTTGCATTCACAAGGAGATATGGGAACCTAAACAACACAAAGTTCAAAGAATGTATTTTTCTCTCGCAGATGGTAGTGGTACCACGTGATACTATATCTTCAACAGTGACAGGCAATATTTTAGCTTCACTTTTGCTTTGTACACATTTATATAATACTAATAATAAGCCATAAACGCCAATTTCAAGAATTCTTTCTCTTTTTTGCAGTTTCAGATTTCCCTACTATTTCCTGTTTATTCTAACAAATATCTTCGAAGACTTTTAAACTGATTTGATAAACACATGCTTTGACACAAATAGCATTTGAATTCATGCCTGAATTCTCCAAATTCTCCAAAACTACCCACAAAGTAGCTCGCAATTTATAGACAGAGCAAATAAAATAAGTACTGAATATGTCATTAATTTTCTAAATAATTGTATCTCTAAAGGTACTATTGATATGAAATTCCTACTAGATGGCAGTAACAACCCATCAATTCCACACATGCAAAGAACTCAGACCACATGTTGATAAATTAGTGGTAATAATGAGAAATGATGCTGTGAAAATGTATTGAACACGCAACTGAAATGAATTTAATACCTCTTACAAAAGCTGTTGGTGGTGATGACAGCTTCAAAATGCCTCCTGTATGGAGCAACTAGTTGCATGTATTGCTCAGGTGTGATTCTGATTCTGGTCCATTTGTCCACACAGTCTTCAAATCCTAAACCAGACCGTTTGAAATAATGATACCTGCTGTTTCAAGTAGTCCTTGGACAACTTTTTTGATCATTCTTTTCATTCTTCTGGTAAATGGATTGGTTCTTATATAGCGCTTTTTCTACACTATCTGAGAACTCAAAGGGCTTTACACAACTTGCTTAATTCATGCATTCACACCAGCACTTTTTTCTATGCCCTTTTTGTCAAGAACAACTTGGGGTTAGTATCTTGCATTTTTCCCAAGGATATTTGGCATGCAAACTGGAGGGATCAAACCACTAACCATCCGATTAGCAGATTACACAGCAGATGGCCGCCCCTCCCTGAGCCTGGTTCTGCCGGAGGTTTCTTCCTGTTAAAAAGGAGTTTTTCCTTCCCACTGTCGCAAAAGTGCTTGCTCATAGGGGGTCACATGATTGATGGGTTTTTCTCTGTATGTACTATTGTAGGATCTACCTTACAATATAAAGCGCCTTGAGGCAACTGTTGTGATTTGGCGCTGTATAAATAAAACTGAATTTAATTGAGTTCAGATGACTTGGTTTACCGTCTGAGCTACATTCACCTTCTGTCTGAAATCTTGAGGGAAGCACTTGGTAGCGGCCGGTTTGTGGTGACATTTGTTCTTTCCTCTTTGCCCCCAACAGTGCTCACTGGAACCTTCAGTAGTTTAGTAGTTTCTTTAGTAATTTCTTCTGTAACCAGTGTCATCAGTATCATCAGTTACCCATCATGAGATGCTTGTGACATCTTGGTAATGAGACACCTTTTTTTAGGCCATTAGTTGGAACTGAAGTGGCAGGATTGCTTTCAGCTGGTGCCATGACTCTCCATGCCTTTTTGCTTTCTTCATGCATTCAGTACTTTCTCCCAATACCATTTTTCATTTTCACACATAGCTTAATTTCTGGACATCTATGATTTGATTTCTCGCATGAGTGGATTGGATGGGTAGTTACCGACATCTGGTGATGTCAACAAACCTTTTGAAATAGATTTACTTAGAAAACTGTGACGTTTTCAATACTTCTTTTATCTGGTGTAAACTTATAATCAAACAGTTGATAGGAATAGCAATCACACATTACATAAAGCAAATTAAGTGTCTCTTGGATGTGGAAAATAACTAAATTATTCATGCAGAAAACATACTGTATAAGCACACTGTGAACATATAATGTTGCTGCAGAGAAACAGGATAAGACTCTGTTTGAAATCAGGCTCCTTTGGCTAATTTAGAACTCCCATTGGCACTCGTTTGGTCCCAGAACTGTAGTTTATAGTTTACTTTTTCATGATTGAAGACAGCTCCAGAATCATGCTCTGAAAAGGGGAAAAAAAAATAGGTACAATGTATAGTTATTATTCTTGTCATAGTCATGATGACACGTTTATGTTTTGCTTTCTAACCTCAAGTAGTATATAGTAAATAGTAATGTTTGACTTTCTGCTAATATCTCAAGACTATCTTGTCTTGAACAGTATTAGAAAAATATATGATAGTGAGAAAATGTCTGTAAACATTGACCTTTGTTGTGGTTGACACTGACAGGTTACTTATTTATTTTATTTTATGTTACTCAATTCATAATGATCACTGGAATTGATGAAATAAAAAGGGTTTTCAACTGAGTTTATTCACGTAAAGTTGATTGCTATCACTGACAACAGATATCACCAAGGAAGGGAGGAACTGAGAATGATGATTAAGAAGCAGGAAATGTAAAGTAGTTGTGGGCCAGCTAATGAGATTTTCCAACTGGATATGTAGAAGGGTATGAACTGGACTGGAACTGAGATCATTTGATCAGCTGAGCTTTACATTGTAGATGTAGCTGCATTTGATTTTCAATATTTATGTTCACTTTTTGACAGAAAATTTTTTAAATATATCTATGCGACTGGGTGTGGTTTGTGGCTCAGCTGCAGGAGAGGGGTGGAGCGATGGGTTCGGGGTGTGGTGTCAGGCTGACCCACACAGCGTCCCCGGGTTGCCGTGACCTGACGGGTGTGTGGTGTGAATCAACAAAGGTAGCTGGAAGGCTGCTCTAATAAAGGCAATGGAAAATGCGGCTTGACTTGCAACGCTGTGTACTTCGGGAACTTCTCATTACAATCTATAGTAAATTTTTCCTCTGGTCATAACTCCATCTTACAACATTATTTGGACTAATTACACTTGAATTGACAAAAATAAGTGGAGTTGGAGGGAATTTAAGGTAGCTTGACTTGATCAGACAACAAACAAACAGTGTAGCTATAACCAAATCTTTCAACAAACAAGTACATGTTAAATCACACATATGAGACTATAAGCCTTTATTAATAGCCAAAAAGAGGCATTAGCTTACCATGGACATCCTCCTCCCTCCAGCTGGAGGTGGTGGAGACACCACTGGACTCTCCCCCTCGCTAAGATGCTGGGATGCATTGTCCGTTCCACTCTGACAGTCTCCACTGTCAGACGGACTGGCCAGCTTGCCCTCCGACAGTCCTCTGGACATAAAACTGCATTTTCTGGCTGTGGGATAGTGTTCACTCTCCAGAGAATCACTCATATCGCTGAGCTCCTTACATACACTCACTCTGCTCTGCTTCCTCTGTGGGTTTCTCAGGGCTGCTGGGATTTCCATGTGGCCGGCCGTCAGCGTAGGTCGAGGCCCCGCATAGTGTGGTTTACCAGAACCATGGGGTCCATTTGAATCATCGCTGCTGCATGACGGTTTGCGATTTTCCAGAGAGTAACATCGTTCCATGGCACCCAGCTGGTGCAGACCTTGGATTTCAGCTTGGCTGGGGCGGCAGGAGATGTTGTGACCTTTGATAGTCTGAGGGGCCACTAAGGCCAAATTCAAAGGCTGACTCTCCCCGTGAGTTTCAGGCACAGCAGAGCAGGTCATCTGCGTGAGCTGGATTAATCTCTGTGGTGAGGAATTTGAGAG